TTACCCAGATTGTCAGAAGGGCTGTATTCCTGGTAGCAAACCGGGTACTCTCCCAATGTCAGTTAACAGATTGGGAGGTTCCAAACCTAAGACACCGAGAACAATGGGGAGTCGGACAACTTGGTATTATTATTCACAGATTAAAATAAAAAATGCAGCAAAGAGGGTTTGGGTGATCCTGGCACAGTCAAGCTGGTTAGGCTCATCATCAGCTCTCTACATATTCCGGGTCTTACCATGGATGGACCTCTGTGTCAAAACCACAAGCATGGCGAAGACGATAATAAAATGACCGAGCCGCCCCATCATGTCGCTTAAGATACTGTGTCTGTGCCAAAGCTGGGCATCCACTCACAATGTGTTGTACAGTCATTAAATTCATTACATAATCTGCAGTCACACATTGACGGTTTCGAGTTGATAGTGACTGGTCCTGAGCAGCAAACAGAAAGCCTTCTGTTTCACTATTCAGGCTAGACGACTTCATCCAAGCCAAGGACTCTGCAGGATTGCTGAACTTCTCAACACACTGCACATAAAGTCGATGCAGTGTTCTTCCAGAAAGGCTCTCCTTTAAAAACTGAGTCTGGGCCGATTTGATATGGCACTTCGCTTGGTTGACATTTATTTCTGTGCCGTCCAGCAGTAGAGAACCATCAACAAAATCAACACCGACATTGAGATTATGTCCCACATCATTTGCTCGTTTTAGAAAACTATGGAATGCCTTGTTTTCATCATGAATCTTGTCATGCTTCACAATCGAATCATCAGACAAATAAATGTGTGCAAAAGTGCACAAAACAAATCTATCATGAAGAGCCTGCAAATTAATCAAACCACGCCCTCCCATCATAATTGGTAAATATAAGCGATTGAGGGAAGAGCGAGGGTGGTGGGATCTATTGTTTGACATGATTCTTCGTGTGAGGGTGTCAATTCCCTGAATTTCTTGTTTCATCCAATCAACAACACCAAAAGAATACGAAAGGACGGGCAAAGCATAAGTATTTGTGGCTTTGACTTTTTTGCGAGCGTTCAGCTCTGCACTCCAGATTTTCTTAAGATTACATTTGTACTCTGCCCGAAGTTTTCCTTGATATAGGCATTCTGGAGTTTGTCCCTAATCTGCATCCCTAAGTACCTACAGGCCTGACCTTCCACGAGACGGTCAATAATTCCTCCTCCAAGTAAACTGACTGATCCTCCCTCTTCTACCTTGCCACGTTTCAGATGAAGAATGTTGCATTTGTCGAGTCCAAAGGACATGCCGAGATCATTAGAAAAGAACTTGACAAGCAGAATCTGTTTTTAGAGTGTGGATCCTCCATTTGCAATAAGTTCAAGGTCATCCATGTAAAGGAGGCAAGTAAGGGGTGTTGGGGATCTGTGCTGAGGAGGTCCAGGATGATAACCTTCCTCTTTGCTAAGCAAAAAGCTTAAAGCATTTAATGACAAACAGAAAAGCAAAGGGCTGAAAGAATCGCCCTGAAATATTCCCCTTCAAATAGAAATGGGTTCCGAAGTCACCACCTGCCCCTGCGAATACATCTCAAGTTAAGTTGACCAGCAATTGAGTAAAACAAGTAGTCGCTCGGGGAGGTCAATACATTCCAGTGACTTCAAAATCCATTCGTGAGGTACAGAATCATAAGCTTTTCTGTAGTCTATCCAACACATTGAGATGTTACGTCGGTAAGTTTTAGTCTCTTCAAGGATCATTTTCTGAACCAGCAATTGATCCTTACAACCCCAATATCGCTTTCTGGCTCCTTTCTGCTCCATGTAGATAATGTCATTCGAAGCGCAGTACGATGACTCGAGATCTGTAAGACACCCTGTAAATAGTGTGTACTGTGTGTTCAAACAAGTAGTTGGGTGGAAGTTTTTAGGGTCAGTCAGATCAACTTTCTTTTGGAGAAGTATTGTTCGCCCTTTGCAGAACCAAGGCGGAATATCCCATGTATCCACAAGAGAACTAAAACAGTGAAGTAATGGCGTTTGGACACAAGGGAACAGTTTCCAATACCGGTTTCGAATACCATCAGGCCCTGGCGCCGTATTAGATTTGGACTTTTTAATTACATGTTTTAGGCAATCAGGTGTAATGAAACACACCAATGGTGACCTTATTTTTTCATGTACACTATCAATGTAATCCTCTACCCATGGTTCCTCGAGGTTACAGATGCCGGGTACAGACCACAACTGTTTCCAAAATCTTTCCCTAGAATCCATTGTGGGAATTTTCTCATCACCCTCACTCGTTGCATTTGATTGCCTGTAAAATTGTTTTTCATTTGATTTAAACAATTTATTTTGTTTTATGAAATTATTTTTCTTATCCCACTTTCTTTTTCTCTCTGTCCAAACCTTTAACTTTGCCTTTAGAGAATCAAGAATTTGATTGAGAATTTTCTCTTTTTGTGTTTTGTTTTTAATTTTTTCCAAATTGATCTCTGGCGTTTTTACATACATTGTCCTGAATAACGCAGTTTTAAACAAAGTTCAATCAAGGACACATCTTTCCTTGTTTCATTCAATTTAATTTGAAACCGGTTTTTCTTTTGATTATTTTGTTTATTTCCCTTTTGTGGTTCATTTTCTTTGGAAACTGTATGGAGTTCCTCCAGTGTTTGAGCAGCAGCATACACGCAACGGTTAATGTCATGCAAAGAGCAGTCCGCACTGCGAGTAACAGAAATAATGCCATTTAATTTATTAAGTTGATTCTGTGGAAAAGATTCGTTAATTTGTTTTATTGGCCTCCGTTTCTCAATGAGTAAATCAAAGATTAGATTATAAAAGGGCATAAACAAAATATACAAGGGATCATCAGAAAGATCATCGACAGCAGAAGGGTCGAAAGACAGGGACAACTCAAAATCTTCGAGGACAAAATCAGAAATTTCATTTTGTCAGCCCATCAGTGGGTCATCAGGTAGTTTAGGGAAAACAATGCGAACGTCCATTTGCAATTTCGGGTCTGCTTACAGAGTTTAGTAAGGCGTCACTGAGACTATATATTTGACAGAACTACGATAAAAATACGAAAAGTTATCGTGCATATTTAATGTGATATGCTTGGTTAGATGTATTTTTGAATTTTAGAAAATAAATAACCAGTTTGAATCCGTTCATGTGCATTTCGTGAGGTGATGGAGGGATTCGATATTCTCGAGGCAACTGGAATATATCAGAAGTGGGGTGTAGTAGATGAAGTGCAAAAGATTCTTGCGGAACCAAAAGGTAGTAGTAGTTATAGTAGTAGTAGTCAGTAGTAGTAGTAGTAGTGGTAGTCAGTAGTAGTAGTAGTCAGTAGTAGTAGTAGTAGTAGTAGAAGTCAGTAGTAGTAGTAGTCGGTAGTAGTAGTAGTCGGTAGTAGTAGTAGTAGTAGTAGAAGTCAGTAGTAGTAGTAGTCAGTAATAGTAGTAGTCAGTAGTAGTAGTAGTCAGTAGTAGTAGTAGAAGTCAGTAGTAGTAGAAGTAGTAGTCAGTAGTAGTAGTAGAAGTCAGTAGTAGTAGTAGTAGTAGTGGTAGTAGTAGTAGTAGTAGTAGTAGTAGAAGTAGTAGTAGTGGTCAGTAGTAGTGGGTCTCACAGTCCATAGTATTTCAGGTTCCGGCGAACCCTAACTGTAATGCTTTAGCCCTAAGTGAAGCAAGTCTAGATCTGCCAAAGGTTCACTCCTCACTGGGGCTCTTTTCAATTGTATGTAATTACTTGTTTCTATCAATATTATGTGTTTTCAGAGACTAAACGTTAGTTAGTAGCAGTAGTAGTGGTAGTAGTAGGGGTAGCGGTGGTGGTCGTGGTGGCATTGGTAGTGGTTGCGGTAGCAGCAGTAGCAGCAGCAGCAGCAGCAGCAGCAGTAGTAGTAGTAGTAGTAGAAGTAGTAGTAGTTATAGTAGAAGTAGTTGTTGTAAATTGCGTAGATCAAAGCTCATGTCAATCACTCGATTGTCCGGTCCAGCCTCGATTATTTACAACCGTCATATGGCTGGAATATTGTTGAGTGCGGCGTTATGTAACAAACAAACAGTGATAGTAAAGTAGCAGCAGTGTTATTGATAGCGGAAGTGGTACTTTTATTTCGAATTGAGAATCAAGGTCGAATTTCGGCTTTCAGTTAATTCCCTTTTGTTGTCAGGATCCAACACATATGATCGATGATGTGATAACCCAATTCTGATTCTTACTCTATTGGCACCATTCCGGTGGGTTTACCAGTGTAGGAAACGTGGGGGATCTAGACAGACGTTATTTCGAACTTTCCTCAAATGAAACGTGGCGATATAATCCCACCGACCTGAATAAAGTATACATTTAGGATTTGACATTACAAACCTTATCAAAACGTTACTAGGCTGAAAACAGTCGCAGACACACTGCAAACCTAAGGTCCAAAGTCCAACTATGGTTTCCGTATCAAATACATCACCATCGAATAATCATGTTTTGTTTATTTCATTTTTTGACACCATAAATCATGGGTGTATACTTTCTTTTGCCCGTCAGTTTATACGGTAATACGTGTGTACATATATATATGTTTACGTGTGAGTGAATATTTCTTTACGCCACAGTCAGCACCATATGCAATATACTTTATTAAATTATATATACTATGGGGTTCAGTGAGACATAGTGTTAAAACCGGACAGGCGTCTCCAATATATCAACTGAAGGGATATGGCTTCACAACACTTCTGTAGGCACAGGTGGCACAGTCGTTTAAGGCGCCGCAATTCGCTGTGCAGAGTTGCATCCCTTGGGTACAGAAACCCAGGATCGTGGGTTCGAATCCCGGTTCGACCCGATCATGTTTCTAGGTTTGTCAGCACCATACCCGTGCTCGTGGGTTTCACCAAAGTGGTAAACGTCTGACAGCTGCATGATTTCGGGCTTTCCTCCCACAATAAGCAGACACCTCATGATATAACTGGAACATAACTGGAATAACTAGAACATAACTGCCGGATCACAAACGTACAAGACAAGGCTGCAGATATTTTACATTTTTATTGATGACAAAATAGGAATGTCTCCACGAAATATTGCAAAAGTGACACAAAATATACAGGCCACTAGGACGCATAGCAATACACTGTTTAACCCGAGGGTAAAATGACATCATTTCCGTTACACATGCGCAGAAGGAAATTTCTATGTTAGACCAAGTCTTCAGACAACAGAGTTTCCACCAAACCATTGATTTTAAAGATCTGACCAATTTTGCAGCTTCCGAGAATGGCAAATTTATCAATTTGATTAAAATGATGTACATGGCACAAAAGATGGCACGTTCTATTTCATAATTTAAGATTAATTTATGAAAATAATCAAACAGTGGCAAAATTGAAACTGATTTAGATAAAATCTAAATAACAATGACTACAACTAAATCATTAGTAGATGGGGGAAATATGGCGACAAAATGTTCGCTGGTGATACATCGTCATACAAATATATACGTTATCAAAATATTCACATTCAAACGAGTTATTATCCATCACATTTGGGTGGAGAAATGGTGAAAATGAATCTCACATTTGTTAGTCATTTTTCACTAACATGTATATTATCTAGTTTCGCCATTACAATGACGTCACTAAATTACGTCATCAAAATCTGAACACGATAGGACGAGACCGAAACAAGAATGATATGAAAAATGAAAAATATTATAAAAACAAATGATATATTTATCATAGCTCAAGGACAATAATACTTCATATATAATGTGATGCTTTATCGAATAAACCATATCTCATAGATTTCGGCAGTAATAAGTAGATCCGTTGAAATGAATCCTTAATCAACAAGTTGAAGAGGTAGTAATTACGGATAATGTTTCATGTCAATACCCATATTGGGAATAGCTCATTATTGGAGCTCGGTGTGCACCCAAGCGTGAAGCATTTCCCTTCATCGATCTTTGTCATCCGGGCACCGTGAAAGAGGCAGGCAATCTTCGCACTGTTCGTACTGCAAACGTACTTAACCTTGGCATATTTTTCAATGGACGTTTGACGAAACCCTTATCAAATGAACTTTCAATACATAAATCTAATAATTCAGAAAAAAACCACTTAATTGTTGCTACAATTATTATGCACAGTTATAAGCTTCGGAATATATTACATAATATCGTGTTAAAAGTTATAATACTTCTTTTAGAATACTTGAAAAGATATTTAGTGTAAGATTTGGCTCGGAAAATTCAAGAAACGTTTCTCGGGCAATTTGTGAATGATATTTGTTTTCACATTTTAAAGAAAAGACATGATTATGAGGGTGGGGTGGGCGTAGGTATGGGGGGGGGGGTAGGGGTTGGGGGTTGGGGTTGGGTGTCGTGTGGGGGTTGGGTGGTTTTGATTGGATGTTTTCGTGGCTTAGTTACCATGTGTTTTTCAGCACGATCTCAATGGTGACTGGATAACATCCGGGTATGTAACGTCATGTTTTTAAATGTGTCATTAAAAGTACTTATGCCCGAATCTAAAAGCATCACGCCCACAGTTTATTTTTTTGTTTCGCCTTTCCTGACTATCATGAATATGAGCTTTTATACCTACGCCAGCTATATGAAATCTACCATAAGTAAATTATTCAATGATGTACAGCAATCGGCAGTTTTTAATCGACTAGATTTAGGGATGACATTGCATTATGAACGCTGGAGACATTTAATCTAATGTAAAATGTCATTAGCTTGAACACCAAGCAAAACAAATTCCATCTAAAATTATGCCACTTAAATTTGAAAATTAAAGCTAAATTTAGAACGCTATTGACTATGAGTAGTCTCTATCTTTGGCCGTCTACTAGATACTAGATATTTGGTTGAACCAATGAGAGCACCATAGTGTAGCTAAACGTTTCTAGTGTCTGTGATAAAATATTTTTTAGAGTTAAATATGAAAACATGGTAAAAGCTGGCTTATGTTAAACGTTTAACAATTAGTATGCAAGTATACCGGCAAAAATAGTGAGTGAACATGAATATTTTTAGGGATATATTTAACAAATTGTGTGCTAAGTCTTCACTACAAAAATATAACCCAAAAAATATTCACGATCCCTAACTGTTTTTGTTCAGTATATATATCCTACTCAACTTTTAATAGCGATATCCTTCGTGTCGGCGTTTATATTGGATGCTTCATGACATTCGCATACACATTTCCTTTGTAACAGGTTTTTCATCAATAGGAAATATATCCTATCCCTATAAACGTTGAGTAGCATATATTATGCATTTAGGGGACACTGTGCTTTTGGTGATTCCTTTTTGATTAAATTAGTCACGACGCTCTGTTTAATTATTATTCAGCATTCAGATACTGGCGACTCTGATGACCTTTCGATAATTCTCACCGTAGCGCACGTTGTATGCGATATACAGAATGTGGTATAATCTTAGTAACCGACTTAGTAACGTCAGTGGTTTATACAGGCATTATAAAAAACCCAACATTTGTAATTATATTGCAGAAAACACAACAATATGAACACCATGTCAGTAACCAAGAGAGCGTTAACAATGAGGTGCGACGCGACGCGATGATACGCGAAACATCGGCGTGTTCGTTTTGTATTCATTTTGCCTTTATTTTATCAACAATAATATGTCACCATGTTGCTAATCATAATACGACATGATATTAGTATCAGTACTCTGATTCTAGCCGCAACACTTACTCATTTTGACTTTTTTCCAGGAATATTATGATACGTATTCTGGATTTTAATTTAAATATATATCGCCAACTGAAAGCAATTTTGAATGCGATCGTGCCACTTGAAGTCCGTTCCGTCGCGTCGCACCATGTACTGTGAACACGCCCTACAATTCTAGCAGACCAACAATATATGCATTTATACCAATATGAAGCAACACTTCCGTCTAAGCGTTTGAGATTACATCTAACGTGTGGTAGATCCAAGTTTTGACATTCATCATTGTTATAGAGATTGAGCTGTATTTGTCACAACCATCATAAGTAGTGGCAAATGTTCCGCCAGTGTTTTATAAGTACAACACACAGACCACACACACCAAGGGCGCACACATCTCAAGTGTAGTGAAATCTAATCTAATGTCGTACGTACATGAACAACCCTCTTCTAACCTAACTCGTACGCTTGTGCAGCTGGCCTGCTCAGTTGTCTGCCTTCCTGACCTTGACCTTGCATCAAATCTGCCGTTCGTGAGTATGCCACGTTTTGCGCTTGCTGCACGTTCTAAACAATATGATCAAGCCAATATTTCTTCTTGGAGGCATATGTACAATGTCCGCCTCCTATCTAGGTCGGGCTGTGGTACTCTAAGTCCTTAGTTAGTAGTTACAGTCGTCCCTAAACGGGAGGCTAGTACCATTAGAGACAGGGTAGCTTCCATGCAGATCCAGAAGCCAGGTCAACTATGACCTCTACGTTTTCTGAGACCTTGAGTTCTGAGACATTGCTCTGACAGTGTCAGAGGAGTCAAGATGGCGGGCTGTCACGTGACAGCCTGTCGCTATGACAACTAGATATGTTGTTATGGTGACGATCACTGGACTTCATTCTGCACCATTGGGAGGTAGGGAAAGCGGGCGCTGCTCAGAGTATGGGGTGGTGGGAAGGTTTCAAAGATGTCTCGATGATTTGACCGACCGTCAGAGAGATCTGAAAAAAGTAACAAACAAGATAGAATACAAAATGTTACCATTTTCAACATGTATCATTCAAAGATCAGGTTTAAACAGAGAAGGTTGGTACAGCTATGACGATGTATCCTATGGTGTTAACTCACCTGGTGTCTTCTTTCCCGAGTCACACTGGCTGTGTTTATCGCCGTCTGAGTCTTGGTCGATTGAATCTGAAACATAACTCTCTCTTTAGCAATGATACCCTTGTACAATGAGTGAGTGAGTATGGTATTACGCCGCTTTTAGCAATGTTCCAGCAATATCACGGCGGGGAGGGACACAAGAAATGAGCTTCACACAAATACCCATGTAGGGAATCGAACCAAGATCACGAGCGAACAACTAGGCTACCCCACGCCACCACCGCCCCCTGTCGTTGTAAAATATGCCAAGATTAATGTACACTAAACAACTGCATTTGTCCCGGTTCGTATTTATCGTATGTTTTTCAGCATAGCTTCTGTCATTTTAATAACTTGAGCTCGTATATACGAAATAGTGGGCGATTTTAACCCATGTTATGGCTGATACATAATTTCTATACAATTGTTTGTAATGACATATAGGAGCATCAGTTTCGCTTGCTTGGAATGCATGTTGAGAATGACCAGTGATTTCTTGACGCAGAATCAACTGCAAGAACAACAGCATGACGTCGTCATAATGATTTAAAACGGGAATATGTAACACTCACCTGCGTTATTTCTGGTAGACTCTGGGCTATTTGGGGCCTTGCACGTGTCGAGGGGTACTCCGGGTTGACCTCCTTGTTGAGCCAGAACCTCCAGCTGTTCCTGAATCCTCCTCCGGGCTTTCTTCTCCTTCTTCAGCCGCTTCTGCAGGATCACTACAAGAAAGGAGAAAGAATTGTATATAAAGAGGAAGATCGAAACAGAGGAGAGAAGTTGCATATGAAGAATAAAGAGTTAGCCACTTTGGACATTATTTCAGTTTTCTAACCGCATGACATCATGATGAAGGGGGAAGCCTAAAGTTAACATCAGCAGATCCAAGGACAACTAAGGGACACAACTCTGAGTTCCAGCTCCTTAGATCAGATAAGGAACACTATAAAGAGGTCAATTCAATACTTCACGGGAAGCCGTTTTATGATAATGGGGAAGTTTTGGGATAATCACCAATTAGCTGTTAATTAACGTTGATGATTCCCTTCCCTTATTTGATACAGAGAATGAATGCATGAAAGGCATCTGTTATTCAACGCATGTCGTGTCCGATTAGAAAACTAAACTGGGAGTCCTGTAATAGTATGGAAGCCTTTTAGGGCCATTTGTGTTTTTATTTAAGTGGACATTTCAAGATGCTATGTTGAAATATCAAGATACTAAATTGAAATTTCAAGACACATACGTTGAAATTTCAAGATAAAATTCAAAATTCAAGATCATTGTCTTGAAATTTCAACTTAGTATGTATCTTGAATTTTCAACTTTGTATCTTGGTGTTTCAACATAGCATCCTGTAATTTCAACTTAGTAACTTGAAATGTCCAGGAAAAATTAAAAAGCAAATGGCCCTTAACGGCTTCCGTAGTAAAATAGACATTCGTGTTGTCTCTCTGTGTCTCCGTGTCTGCTCACCTCTGTTCTTCTGTTCGTCCATGAGCTGCTTCTCCGTCTGTTCACGAGCTTCCTTCTCTCTCAACAGCTCCATCTTCAGCTCAGCTGTAACAGAGCAACGACACCATTAGAACATCACGTGAGAAACGTCAAGTATTATTAAGGACATCACGTCAAAACCTTCGTACATACACCCCGAGGAAATGGACCTTCAAGAAGGCGACCTTAGTGCTAAACACAGTCGTAAAACACAGGTATCGTTACAGATAGTCGTTACGCTAAAATCGCCTTGTGAAATAGTTTCCTTGACTTTAAATTACCTCACACTTTATCACAAACAAAATGAACATTTACTCAAATATTTCACAAATACACAACCGCGTATATTAAGATGGTAAACAGAAAGATCGTGTTCCACAACTTTTAACGAACGTGAAGAAGAGTATTGCATCTTAAACGTTACCAAAGCAAACGACCTTGACATTGCACACTTGTCTTGACAGAGTCTACCCCCGTTTACAAAGCGGAAAGGCAATATAATTCACCAATATATATCGACTGCAATCGCGGCAATTGAAGGTTAATTGTTTCCCTCCTAAATACAATTAGAGATTTGATCATTGTTTTAGATTATACAGCGAATGAACTGAACCACACTGCTACATAATTCATCAGCAATCGTCTGCAGCCAGCTCCGATGTTTATTACAAAGAGAAATCCTTCTGCACCACGGGCCAATAAATAACGCATTTAATACTTAATAAATATGCACCGAGTCACACAGAACTCAAAAAGCAGTCTTTAAAGACCCACACACTTTTTATTGAATGACATCCGTGTTAGATGTTCCACAAACAATCCAATATCAACGCTTCTTTGCAATGCATTTATTTGTACAGCGCTTCAATGATCGATCAGAGCCCCACACCGACTTAAACTCGGAAACAGAACTTGTAAATTCAATCCAGTTATACTGAATACGTTTCATTGTAGGAGACAGCTATGTGAAACAGAAGGGGATTTTATTCATTTAAGCAATCGACTATAACCAGATTGAGATGGATCCCGTCGTCTGTTCCAGCAACTCTGCTATTATTCTCTCCTTTGTCACTTGAAGACAATCTACATTTCTCAATGTCTCTGATAAATCAATAACACAGCCAGGCTTTTATTCCTTAACCGAGAACAAACCCACTACGTTTCTCGATCACTTAAATTTTAATCTTTCATTTGATTCTTGAGCAAGCAATTACAATTTTTTTTCGTTTTCTACATCAATATAGTTCAGTATTTGTTTATATATCTTTGTGATTTTAAACTGTAGTTATGCAATGTAAGCTTGCTATGTGTCAGCTTGTAAAAATAACATGTTGGTTGGCCATGAAGTTTATAGATTTCAAATTGAGCTCGACGGCCACTGTTTCTACATTGTGATACAGCATTGATGTACATACCTTCTATGTATTGATGATATTTAATGTTATAATAAAATAAACGAACAAAGATAACAATTAATCTACGAAAAAAGATAACAATTAATCTTTGGCCTTCGTTTTTTTGTACATTTTATAGGATTCGTCCATGTTTTACTGCAGGTGGGCGTTTCACGTGGCTGTGCTCCGGCACGTTTGCACCATATTTTAAACATACCTTAAAATTGCCGGTACAAAAACAAACAGTTCGTTGTATCTATCAGTTCGTTATAAACGTGTTCGTTATAAACATAGTTTACTGTACTGATGGTCCCGTAGTGTGCAATTATTCGGTGTCTGTGATCCTTAATCTGTTTCGTGTCCACAGAACATGTAACGTCAATGAAAGAGAAAATCTCGAGTTTCTGTCGGAACAGATGCCATTGGGCGAAAAAGGCAGGAAGGCACAGAATTTGATTTAGCTCAGGTAGAAAAAACATGAAAGACTCCGACCAACCATCACGTCCTGTCTTCGGATCCCGACCGTAACCACTGATTATCACAACACACCAACCCACCCCCACCCATGCCATAACTATGCATCTCCCACCTAACCATCCACTTAACATCAGATCCAGACCCTAACGACCCAAAGCGTGATGACACAACCACCCTAGCAGCCACATCCGCATCACACAACCACCCTCACAACCACCGTCACATCCTCAGATCTTCATCCTAACCAACCATCATCACCACATCCTGACACCTCTTCCAATCCTCCAATCCCAACCTTCGGTCCGCCCCCCCCCCCCCCCCCCCCCCCAACACACACACACACACTTCCTCAATCCCCTTCACCCCCTCCTCCATCCCCGTCACCCCCCTCCGAGTACCTCCGAGTAAGTTCTGTGCCAAGTGACGTGTGTAACGTCCCAGTCATGTTCATCCGAACAAGGCCAGTATGTGTACAATTGTGCGTTGATTGAAGCCTCATTTGATGCAATTTAATCAAAATCGTATTAAACGATCGGAACCCTCAATCTACAAAAAACTACAACTCTGCTTGAGAAATGACTGTAAAATCAAATTTACACCTAACATGAAAGTCGACAGGACAGCGAATCAAGCGCTTCATTGGGCTCCGAACGAAAAGTGAAGTCCCCGCATGCTTATCACTGATATTCCCAGCATCTGGCAGTCTGCGTAGAGTCACCCTGATTGGTAATCCCACCTACTTCAATCACTGAATCAGAAAAAGCCCCAATGATAACTGAGACCTCGTCCAGGCCTATCTTTATCTAATTGCAGTTATTGTTATTCATCGCGATCCATGGATTTTTCTAAATTATTGTCTTCAGGCTTTCCCGATGTTACATTTGACAGAGTCACATAGCGGTCGGCCGAATCGTAATCCTATCAGTAAACCGCACTATTATTGATGGCATGGCGAAATTACGCCACACGTAGATGAAGCTGATTTGAATTTTCGCGCAAGCCAACTCTGAAAACACGATAAACGTCGATTTCCAAACGACTGATCAAAGCAAATGCACATGTGGCCGTCGTAATGGGTCGTTTGACAAAGTCTGAAATATTATTGTTTCTTCACGTCAAGACCCAAATACAAGACTTTGATTTACAGGGACCAGGAGCCCTATCTTCTGTTACAGAACACTAAATTATCTCCTCATTTTCTTATTTATTGGCCTTTAATTTATTTTTGAGATGAATCAGACTCCTCGAAGTACGTTTGACTCGGCGGCGATCTGGGATTATGACGAAGAGGCTAAACAGAAATGAGAAATTTTCACATTCCGCGCTCGAGCGATGATAGATTTGTATGCTTCGTCACCCCCATTGAACGACCAACGAAGGTAGAATCAGGAATAGGAGTAAATCACTGTTTTTCCTTCTGGTCATAATGACAAAGCATTATCCACCGCGTTAATGAGCAATTTCTCTCATTCCGTCTCAGTCACAGCAAACCCCGACGCCTCACCAGGAAAAATGTAATAAAATGTTTAAAATAAACGAGAGTAACGTGACGGTTTTCCAATAATTCTCACAATGAAAAGCCCCATCACGACTCCTTAAGCACTGCAAGACTGATGCAGATTGAATCTGCTAGTTTCAGACAAAGGCCCCAGGAAATGATTTCTACATTGAGTACTCTGTGATAGAGGCGGAATTTGGAGCAGCGACGGAGTAAGGACAAGTGACGACGCTGTGAGGAGCCATGGAGCCACCAAACCAGGTGTGGACAGGCGAGATCAGGTCTTCGGGGTCGGAGCGGGTAGAGCCATCCATCATTATCTGGCTTCTTGTATTGAGACCGATCGACTTTGGTGACAGGATCAGAAAGGAATGGCAAATACGATATTCAAGACCATGTTATTGACACAAGGTGTCGTTCACAATAATAGATTCCTACAGGAGTTGGACTCCGCAAGGTGTGGGTTAATGGACCTATGATTGAGTAATGGTCGTGAATTGTTGCAAATCAGCTGCCTGATACGAATCGGAGTTCAAATTGCGTTTCCTAATAAGGAAAATAAAGGGCGCTTGTGATTATCTCAACGGGGGAGCATTGAGGGGATTGTTTCCTTTAGTTATGCCCTCAGAAACGAGGGCTTGCCATTGAGAACGGTCATCAAATCCAAATAGCAAACCCTTCATTTCCATCGGTTCTTGGCAGTTATAACATGAAACAATTTCTATGTTTAGAAGACATGAGTTAAAAGTAAATGCCTATTTATGCATCCGTCAAATTCCTGAACTCTTTACGTTTGGGAAATTTAAAAAGTTTATAACTCGTAAAAACTTGAATTTCTGTTGACGGCAAACGTGAATTATTCAGTTTTTGCACTGCAAAAACATGTTTCAGGTGTGTTTTGTTATTTACTTAACTTCAAATGTTCAAAAGAGTCGTATAAATCGGTTTACCAATTATTCCCTTCCTCCGGAGCAATGGGTACGACGGAACAGGGGTATAAAATGTATTCCACAGATCTATTCACATCCTTTAACAAGATAAATGATGGACAAACCATTCACGCACCTTTTTGCTCTCGCTGTCAGGTAATTAATACTTCTATTTAAAAGAGTAATCGACACAGCGGATTCTATAGTGCACCTCTCCTAGTGAGACTATCACCTACTCAATGAACCGCACAATCGTAAGGGTCAAAGCTCGCCGCGAGGGGGTCAGGCCTGTCCAAGGGGGGCAGGGGTACCCATGGGGTTCACCTAGGGTGATACGATGCTGAGATGGTTGTGCTAATCTCTACACTGACCAAGGGTCAGTTGGGATGACCACAACGCGATCGCCGTGACCACTAATTAGAAACATGTACATCCGTAACATGGGAAAGGCGGGTTTTTACGACCACAGCAGACCAAGCAGACTCGTGGGACTGTGAATTTGAAAACATTTGTCAGGTCACGCCGGACATTACTGTGATAGAGTGTCAGGTGGGTCAATTAAAACCCGGGGGGTGGGGCGGGGGGCAAATGCATCCCTAATCACAATGAGAACACGAATCAAACACCATGAGAAAGCCAGAAACACGAAATACGATCCCGCCGTGTTCTGTGTGAATGAGTCGAAGCATAGGTAAAACAAATTATTTCATTTCATGCTACATTGAAAAGCAGTACCCGGGTTTGAACTGAGGCCCTCTTTTCATTAAT